AAAATGCAAATCTATCGAGGGTCTCCAGCAAGTTCACTTGACGAGCAGGTGCGACAGCTAACAAAAGGCGCGCAGCAGATAGCTCATAAGATGGTGTTAATGCGCGCAGAGATGGGGCGCCTTTGAGACGTAACAGAGACGCTTACTAAGCGTAAGAGTCGCAAGAGACGCTACGTACGGGCAGAGGAGACACTGACAGTTGGCGAGGTATTAGACTTAATTGCTGAAAAGGAGGGTGGCAGTCGTGAGGAGGGTGAGGAGCCGGCGAAGAGGGTGCGCGCAGGGCGACGCTGCGGCCGTTGTGGCAAGATTGGGCATAACTCTCGTACGTGCAAGGTAGAAATTAAGGATGCGAATGATAGCGACGCTTCTGAATAATACTATACTGTTGCAAGAGTATAAAAATTGTGTTGTGGTGCTAAGCTACGTCGCTGCGCGTACGCTTCGCTAGTGTTCATAGGCCGCTCGGTAGGGTGGGCCGCTCGCTGGTGAAACAGGTTACTTCTCTAAGGTTAATATTATCGCTGCCTTTAACAACGTACGTATAAAGGAAGGCTAGGAGTATTTAACTGCGTTCTAAACGCGATTCGGCCTGTATAAGAGTCTAGTAATGCTGTTTAGCCTATCTAGAGCACTAGCTACCTTTTAGAGGTTTATTAACAATACCTTAAGGGAATACTTAGACGTTTTCTGCACTACCTACCTAGACAACATTCTAATCTACAGCTGAACTAGAGGAGAACACGAAAAACACCTGCGCCTAGTACTAACCGCGCTGCGAAAAGCTAGACTGTACGCAAAGATCTAGAAGTGCGAATTCTTTAAGGAAGAGACTACCTTCCTAGGCGTTATTGTTAGACGCGAAGGGATTTGCATAGACCTACAGAAGGTCGAGACAATACAGGAATAGAAAACCCCGTCCTGCCTAACTAACGTACAAGCGTTTATTAGACTTAGTAACTTCTACCGTTAGTTTATATAAGACTTCTTAAAGATTATCGCCCTGCTAGTCGCTCTTACAAGAAAGGGTATTAAGTTTGTCTAGAATAGTAACTGCTAGAAGGCCTTTAACTATCTAAAAACCGCATTTACTAAAGCCCTAATCCTAGCCCCGTTCGACTAGGAAAGGGAGATTATCCTAGAGACGGACGCATCTAATTATGTATCCGCTAGAGTGCTATCTTAGTACGGAGACGATGGGATACTTCGACCTGTAGCGTTCTTCTCTAAGAAACACTTAACAACTAAGTGTAATTATAAGATATACGATAAAGAACTGCTCGCGATTGTACGCTGCTTCGAGGAATAGAGACCTAAGCTAGAAGGAACCGCATCGCTAATTAAGGTTATTACAGACTACTATAACCTAGAGTACTTTACAACTACTAAGTTGCTAAACTAACGATAAGCCTGCTAGTCTAAATTCCTGTCCCGTGTAAGGGGCTACGCTTAGGGAGCTATCGCACAGGTATACTAGAGTTGTATTCAATAGAGAAGAGAACTACAGGTAGCTAGGGTTCTAAAGGTCGTTCAGGGGGCGGCGGCTCGGGATAACCTTCCGCCGGGCTCGCTTGCACAGAATCTGGGTGCTCAGGGGGGGCACCCGGAATCTGTGGACAGTGCGCCTCGCGCACGTAACCAAGGTATTATCGAGGACTTACCAACTGGGCTCTAGCCCATTACATCCCGCTTTAACTTCTAGATTATATACTGCCCTAGTAAGCTAGGTGCGAAGCCTAACGCGCTAACTAGGAGGTTAGAAGATCTGCCTAAGGAGGGGGATAAACGCCTGTAGCACTAGAGCTAAGTCGTGCTAAAGAAGGAGAACTTTAATCTGCCTCTAACCCCGCTAGACACGCCTGCCTTGTTAATGTACCGCTAACACTACTAGCTTCCCTAAAACCTAAGAAAAAAGTCTGCTTTACTATTAACTACTTCGTCCGCCTATTCTCTATTACACGCGCCCGTGCAATAGGAAGTCTAGAACTAGTAGTGCTAGAACTAGCCGCTAAACCCGCCTGTCTAATACTACTACCTAGGAGAGCTGCACTAATACTACTGTTAACTATAAAGGATCTGTTTACAAAGGGATACAAGAATAACAAAGAACTAAGTTCTATACTAGAGGCCCTCTGTACTAGACAGAGTCGTTACAAGAGGATTACACTCGCTGAGTGTGTAGAGCGTAAAGGTTACCTGTATTATCGAGACCGCCTGTACGCGCCTAATAACCCTAAGCTACATGCTAAGCTACTACAGATGTACTACGAGAGCCCTGTTACTAGCTACATAGGCCGATCCTAAACCTACAAGGCACTGTTCTAAGAATACTACTAGCCTAGAATGCTAGACTACGTTAAGTAATAGGTTTAGAACTGTTACACTTGTAGACAAATTACGACGTCACGAGAAGCAAAACAAGGAGTCCTAAAACCGTTACTAATACCTAACCGAGCCTAGCAAGATCTGTTAATAGACTTTATTACGCACCTGCCTAAGAGTAGTAGATTTGACGCTATCTTAGTTATAGTAGACAGACTCACTAAGATAAAGCACTTTGTTGCCTGCTAGGGTACCTGCGACGCTAAGGAGGTATCGCGCCTATTTACAAAGTACGTCTAGAAGCTACACGGCCTTCCTAAGACTATTGTATTAGACTAAGGACTACAGTTTGTATCTAAGTTCTAGAGCTACCTAACCTAACGCCTAGGGATCTAGTCTATCCTGTCTACTGCGTACTACCTAGAAACTAACAGGCAAACGGAGAGAGCGAACTCCTTCCTAGAACAGTACTTGCGAAGCTAAGTCTCGTACCTGCAGGATAACTAGGCGAGATAGCTACTGCTAGCTAAATTTGCGGTAAACAACGCTAACAACGAGAGCACCTGCACAACGCTATTCTTCGCGAACTACAGCTTCTACCCCTGCCTAGGATTTAAGCCTGTTAATCTAAGCTAACAGCTAGCAGCGCAAGACGCTAAAAATCTAGCCCTAAAGATAAAAACTGTCTATAAGTACTTACGCTCTAAGATCTGTGTTGCACAAGCCTAGCACGAGAAGTACGCCAACAGGAAACGCAAACCTGCCCGCTAGTTCTTTGAAAACGACTTAGTGTAGCTTAACGCCCAGAATATTAAGACTGCCTACCTGCAGAAAAAACTAGACTAGAAATTCCTAGGACCCTACAGGGTCACTAAGGTCGTCAGCCCGTATGCTTACCGCCTAGAGCTGCCTGCTTTAATAAAGATCCACCCTGTGTTCTACGTGAGCCTGCTCCGCCCAGCTGCGACTAACCCCCTGCCTAGGCAGCGACAAGACCCGCCTCCTCTTGTCGAAGTCGAGGGAGTTAAGGAGTGGGAGGTCGAGGACATCCTAGACTCCCGCTAGGACCGCTGCGGCCGTAGAGGCCGGCCCCAACTAAAGTATATAGTAAAGTAGGTTAGATACGACGAGCCTACTGAAGTACCAGCCGACTACGTCGAGAACGCCCAGGAGATTGTTAAGAGCTTCCACTGCCGTTACCCAGACAAGCCCCGTTAATCGCGTCGTCAGAGCTCCGCCTAAGGAGGGGAGTACTGTCACCGCGCTGACCTAGATAGCCTATTAGAGCGCGCTAAGCTGCTAAGCGAGCAGCTGCGCGATCGCTGAAATTCCTGCGCGAACGCGCCCTGTCGTACGCTCCTTGAGCTACGTCCTTGTCTTAGCCTGACCCCGTACTATCAGCGATATCGTAGTGAATATACTGATCACGTGCACCTACCTTCCCTGCCTGCCGACCCCGTGACAAGGCGTCTGCTCTTTTAGAGTTATAAAACAATAGTAACGCTGCAGAAAAAGCAGCAGAGAGAGCAGCAGCTAAATTAGCAGCTTAAACTCTTTAGTCTTTGTGTACAGAGTGGCAATTGTAACTAGGTTGAATTAATTACGTTGATTTTTGATGGGTAGCCGAGTTCTGGGCGGGTGGCCAGCTTCAGTGGGTGGCCAGCTTCGGTGGCCGCTAGCTTAAATGAATAACGTAGATCACAAGCGAGTGGCCGGACTTTGCTAAGACCCCATGCAGCCATAGGTCCAGTTACCGTTCTATGATCGCGCCGGGCTAGCAGTACTCTGCTGGAAGGTGTTACTGGGCTTGCGACTGGCCCCCAGACTAGCGCTATGTGTGGTGTATCAAGGCTGTGCAGCAAGGCTGTGCTCTAAAGCGCGAGTCTGGCTTACCGCCCCCAAAGGTGCATGATGGTCTCATAAATGGCCTCTACCCCTCCCGAAGAGCTATTTACTATATCATTTGACAAATCCTTCTCCAATGAGTTGCCGTGTTTGTAACTCCCTCGAGTGCAATAATGACGGCGACAAGATGCTGTCGCTGTGGATGGCACCAGCTAGCCTTCTCGAATCAGCTGAATCAGGCTGTCCATTTTGCCGATTATTGTGTAATAGTATCGCTTGTTACCTGCACGAGGAGCGCCTAAGGCAGCAAGTTCGAGTGGTTTATGTAAGTGTGCGGAGGTATGGGAATGGAAATCGGACCAAAATAGAGCTCTTCTGGGAGGATGGTAGCTATGAAATGAAGCTTGAGCTCTTTGTCTTGAGAGGTATTCTGCCACCCCTGTATGAACCAATACACCCGATCAATTGAGTTAACGTGAGAAGGCGACCCGCTACTTCTGAATATTTTACGCATAGTCTCCGAACCAGGACATGAACGACCCGAGAGCAAGATGCAGTGGATAATCGAGAGGCTCTCCAAATGCAGAGAGAGTCACAGACATTGTGCAAGAAAGGCAAAAACCGAACTCCCAAGTCGGATTCTAGATCTCTCTGGCGGATTAGTCCGGCTTTGCGAAACCAAACACGAATCAAGCTTATATGCCTGCTTGAGTCATTGCGTGAGTGTATAGCTGAAATTTAACTAAGATTTCGTGCTAACATCGTCACTCTGTCAGTGGGGTAATGAATCGAAGCGCTGCATTACAACTCAAGCGACACTTAAGTCCAGAAAGTCCGGTATTCCGTGGGACGAGCTGCCAAAAACCTTCCAAGAGGCCATCTTGGTCACCCGTGAACTAGGCTTGAATTACTTATGGATTGATTCTCTTTGCATTATTCAAGATAGCAAGGCGGATTGGCAGTTGGAGTCAGCAGAAATGGCTGGCATTTATCAGAGCGCCTTTTTGACGCTTGCCGCAACCAGCTCACCAGATTCTAACGGCGGGCTCTGGGTTCGAAGCCAGTCAAACACTTTAACATATGCTAAAGTGATACTCCGTCACGATGGCAAAGACTATCCCGTGTACGTCAAGGAGCGCCCCGTACACTGGCCGGCAGCCACCGAGACTTATGTCAACCAGACGTTTCCACTTCTTACTCAGGGTTGGGTATATCAGGAGCGTCTCCTTTCTCCGCGATTCCTACACTTTGGGAAGGATGAACTGGTGTGGGAGTGCCTTGAAGAAAGCGTCTGCGAATGTGGAGGTTATAGTCTCGACCACTGGACCAAGGGCAAGTATGGTTACTCCCTTACCGACTCGGCAGCAACCGAATAGAGAAACATGATTGAAGAGTACTCTACCAAAACACTCTCGTTTGGGTCGGATCGACTCCCTGCACTTTCTGGCCTTGCCAAGATCAATCGCGACTGGCCGTATGAATATCTTGCTGGGTTGTGGCGCAATTCTCTCCAGTTCGACCTTCTATGGCGAGCCGACAAAAGTGATCTTCCTAATGCGACTCGTCCTACAGTGTATCGTGCTCCATCATGGTCATAGGCATCAGTGGATGCACCAATATCCTATTGGTCAACCAACTTCTACAGCCAAACTTACGCAGACGAAGCAAAGTGTTGGAAGATTATCAGAGCGGAAACCACGAGAGCCGGTCTGGATCCCACTGGAGAAGTGTCCGCCGGCGTGTTGGAGGTTGAAGCTACTTGCTTTGATGGACATCTAATACGTGATATAGGTTCAACTAGTGAGGCAGAAACGCCCGGCTTCTCGGTTACAGCGCAGGGGTTTGGCATCCCGTTCTTTGCTGACTTCAACCTCGCTCGGACTAGTGATAATCACCTTCGCGAAGACATCGTCTTGGTGAGAGCAACGCCAGATGTTCTTCTTGTTCTTATTACAGAGTCCGGATCAGACAATGTTTATAAAAGAATCGGAATTAGTCGTCGGAATCTTTTTACGAATAAGGAGAAGACATCGACTTACGTTTGGGAACTCGAGGGCGAGAAAAGAATACTATCTATAAGGTAGGAATACAATACTAGGTAGTTTCTCTAAGAAGTAGATTTCAGAATATTTCTATAGAGTAAGCTACCTCTAAGCGACTGCCTACAATTCTACTGCAGTTTCAAAGTAGCGCGGGTTCTGCCCCTTATTCCTCGCGTCAGCGCAGGTTCTACCGTGCCGGACGGCGAAACGATCGCTCCGCCCCATCAAAACCACCACAAAGATGAGGCTGCAGAGCCGCACCAAATTGCTATTATCGCGATATCTTTTGTTGGAGTAGTCTAGATGTTATATAACATAACGTGGTTCATAAGTGAGCGCCCCACCCAAGTGAGCGCCCCACTAAACACCAGCGCAGCGCACGCGCAGCGACGCAGCACAACACTACATCAAATTACTATACTATACGCAATACTATAGGATTATTCAGAAGCGCCGCTATTATCTACATCCTCTATTTCTGCCTTGCAGGTGCGGGAGTTGTGCCCAGTCTCGCTGCAACGGCCGCAGCGCCTCTCTGCGCGCACCCTCTTCGCAGGCGTCTCGCTGTCCTCACGCCTACCACCCTCCTTTTTAGCAATTAAGTCGGATACCTCACCAACTGTTAGAGTCTCCTCTGCGCGTATATACCGCCTTTTGCGAGTCTTGCGCTTTGTGAGCGTGTTAACAGCGTCTCGAAGGCGGCCTATTTCCTCCTGCACTAACACCATATTATGAGCTATCTGCTGAGCGCCTTTACTTAGTTGCCTAACCTGCTCGTCCAACGAGCTTGCTGGTGACCCTCGATGGTTTTGCATGCGATTTCGGATTAACATTAACTGCGCCTCTATCTCGCGGGCATTGCGTGGTGTCTTCGCCTCCCAGTCGACAGTGCCTAGTGCAGGTAGTGTTGGCGTACGCAGCTGCACATCTAGCTTTGATAACACAGCGCCTGGGTTGTACGGGGCTAGCCCAGCACCTTGAAACCCTGCGCGAACGTTCTCTAGTGTAAACGTCTTCTCAAAAGCTGCTTTGAAGGTTGGTAGGAAGGTTTCCTTGTTAATATGGTAGACGCGGCTGCGTGCCAAGAGCGAGATCTCATCGCCGTAGTGGCGCTTCAACAGCGAGTAGGGGACGACGTCAAGAGGCTGCAGGAGGTGCGATGAGTGAGGTGGCATGCAGAGAGCGATAGTCTTGTTCTCCTTGCAGTAGTCCTGGAAATCTACTGAGCAGTGACTGTCATGGCCGTCAATGATAAGCAACCTATATGCCCCAACAGAGGACGCCTTTGTATGAGCATCGAAGTGCTTAAGGCACGCGAGCGCGAGGTCGTTGTTGATCCAGCCAGTAGGAGAAACAATGATAATCCAATCGCGAGGTAGATCTGCGAACTAGGAGGTGATGAGGACCTTGCCTGCAAAGATGAGGAAGGGTGGGATAATGCGCCCTGTCGCGGCGACGCCTTGTACTAGAGTAACCCACTCGCGATCGCCAGGCTGTAGTTTCTTCTGTTTCCCAGGTTTCTCTGAGCCTGTAACAACAAGCTGAGAGGATATCTTGCCCATCATGAAGCCAGACTCATCAAAGTTCCAGGTATCCTCGTCTACAATACCATACTTTGTCTTCATATCCTCAACTAGCGTGAACCAGGGCCTGATAACCGCTGGATCCTCGCAGACAGCTCGCTGGTGATCGTACGGACGGCTCCATCGCGTGCGTAGCTCAGGTGTACGCGTGATAAACCTAACCACCCAGTTCTTGCCTATAAGCTTCCCGCCACGCTCTCGCAGCAGTCTGTCAGCCATATCTCGTACGTGTGCCTTCGAGGGCGGTATGCCACGTAAAGACTCGTCGAGTATACGCTGTACAATAACCTCCTCTTCTAGTTTTGTAAGACTCTTCCGATTCGGCTCGCACTCGCGTCGAGAGTGTGTTGCGTTGCGTCGCCGCTGTATTGTCCTTCGGGGAACGTTGTAGATTGCCTCAGCGTGTCGCAGGCTTTTTACTTGGTTACATTGGATATCAGAGATAGCAAGCTGTACATTAGCTTCATTATAGAGTCTAGGGACTTCGTGGTGTTGAGACATTACGCGTTGTTGCTGCGCTGGTGTTTTGGTGAGGAAACTGGGGCGCTCGATGGGGTGGGGCGCTCGATGGTGAACCACGTTATTGGTTTATTTTCTGGATTTAAGTACCCCAGGGCTCTTCAGCGCCCTATTAGACTCTCTCTATTCCTTCCTGCGGTTTCCAATGTGCTGACCAAAGCGGTCCTAGCAGCCGCGTCCCCCTGCAGTCTAGCTCGCCGGCGATTAAACAGCCTCTTGTCCTCTCTTCGATGTCGATGCTGCTTATAACTTTTCCATTCCTCTTTATCTGCCCCATGTTCCAACAGAAGTTGTGCGTCTTGGTCCAGCCTTGCCGTCAGATCGGTTCTGAGTAATGAGGTGCACAGCTTGCTGTCGTTCTTTCTGCCAGCTAGAAGGCTTTTGAGAGTTCCTCTTTGATCGGTGCCGGGTTTGTATCGCCTAAAACCCTTGACTAGCAGAAACTGAGAATCCCTGGCCTCGAGCTGCTCAAGCAGCTTTATGGTTCCTTCAGCAAGGGGGTCGTTTGCAAGCCACTCCTAAGCAGTAAATATTTTGCACTTTCTAAGTAGTTTATGAAGGCTTTTACAGACACGCAATAAGCTTAATAAAGCCTGCTTGTCTAGATGACGACCTATCATCAATAGAACCTTATTGGGAAGCTCGAGTATAGTGGTTCTGCCCGGGGTCTGTATGTAGTTAAGAGAATCTGGGTAACTAGGGTGAGCGGGGCTCGTGCTGCTAGCAATTTTCCGAGATGTACTGTGTTTTCCTAGACGCAGTCGTATCTCTTGAATCTGCAGCTGCAATCGCTGCGATGATACAGGATCTTCTCTTGGTGCCGAGGCTATTGGGCATAGCTGTCGAATGGTAAGCCTGAAGACGCGATGATGAATTGTGAGGGACGCGCGTGCTGATTTTCTACCTCCGGTCTATCTCTATTCTTCACGTTTAAGCCCTAGAAGAGCTCTGTTGCTTTGCTTGTTGTTGAAGGAAGGCGGACGGATGCGCGGATGGTGGTGCGGTGGCGGCTGTTTTCGGCGGCGAGCTGGCTGAGATGACGGCGATAGCAATGGGAAAAGAGCTGAGTGGGTCGATCCTTGACGTCTTACAGCGTTACCTTTTGAGAAGGGAAGTGCGTGTTTTGTGGCATTGGGAAGCGAGGCAAGACTGAGGATATGCAGCGAGATAGCTGGGGAGCGATCGCTGTTTTACCGCGGCCCTGCTTTAGGCTCCTCTGTCGCATGCCAAGCGCTTTCATGAACCTAAACTCTGTTACTAAGCATGCCGTGCGAGGGCCTGAATATAAGCTGAGCTATGATGCAAGAACAATACAATAACTTACACACTCTTCATGATTTCCCGTACTTGCAACACCGCATCCAACCGTGCGACATCCTCTGTCGCAAAGAGGCTCGCGCGTGAACCTGCAGATTGCGCGGCACAGCTACTTGCAGGAGCCTGACCTGGCCTTGTCTGCACTACGGCGTGTACAGAAGGTAAGCGAAGTAAACGCGGTTTGCTTGGACGCCGAGATCTCTGTCGCTTGATCTTGTGCGCAAACCTACTTGGGAACTGTAAGCTGCTTACTGCTAAGCAGACGCTCTACTGCGGCACAGTTCTTGTCGTGACAGCCCTGCGCGGAACCGACGGATCCTCTAAATTGCTTAGGCTGATGCCCTAGCCGCGTGTTGATTAGTCTTGCTTGTATCACAGGATTAGGTCTAGTTCGCAGTCGATTTGTCACGCTTGATTGCCTGACGAGCCTGGTGCTGACTGGGTGAAGCACCTTTATAGGTATTGTATGCAACGCTCGACGTGCACGACGCCTATGCTATCTTATCCTTGGCCTTGTTAGTAGCCTTGCCCTAGCATTTTGGCTAACTTCTGAACTGAGTCTGGGCATCTTGGCTCTACATATTAGCTGATGCGATGCAGGTACTATTAGACAGCTCTTGCAGTGCGCGGCTTATGCGGCAAAAGCTTACGAGGTGGTCTTTGCGCCTACTGAACCTGCGACAGCCAACTTGACTGCTGTGATGGACTACGCCTCTAACCATGCAGCGACAATGTGGGACAATGCAAGACCTCGACTATGCTACGAAGAGCGATCTGTGCGCTGCGAGTAATGCTCGCCTTTGACAACACTGCTGTCGTTTTTGCTAATCCTACTGCTACATAGTTCGGCGGAGAGTGGGACGAATCTTGGTGATGGCTCGCACGTGCGTACTTAACCTGCCTATCGTTAACGGT